GGCACGGATGGGGATGGTCGGTGGGGAGGTTGCTGAGGAGTGTACTGTAAGTACCAAGGACGAATAGTTGGGCGAGCAGAGGAGAGTTTGGCGGAGGTTGCAAAACTAGTGGGAGAGGCAGGGGTGCCCGACTGAACCGCCAGCAAGGCCCTGACACCGATCTTGGAAGCAATCCAGCTCAGGTAGGACCAGGTGGAGGTGTAGATCCCAGGGCGTTTGGCTCGGGCACAGCCTACCCCCCAGCTCGTGACTCCTACGACCACGTAGGCATCCTCCTGGCCGCCTCTGCACATGAGAGGCCCGCCACTGTCCCCCTGCCAGAAGGACACGGGAGTCACCCTCTGAGGAGCCCCTCTGCCCCGCTCAGGAGGGCCCCTGGCTCTGGGAAGACAACTTCTGCAGCTGCCTGGTTTCCTGCTCCCAGAAATATAGCTGTCTGTGGGGAAGGGTCAGCTGGGATGTGACAGGTATGGAGGCCGAGGGTCTCCCCACAGTGAGGTGGGAAGAGGAGGGACCCACGCGTCCCTGCCTGCAGCTTTATCAGTACATGTGAGCACCTGGGTGCAGGTAAATTGGGAGGGTTAGTGTTCTGGGAAAGAGATGTACACTTCTCTCTGGGGCAGTGTTTTGGTGAGGTGGTCTCTGTGCCAGGGTGGGAGAAAGTGCTAAATGTGGGGATTGATCCTCTGTTGGGGCATCTGCTGGATGTCACTGCCGACGCTCACTGCAACCATAGATATGGGACCAGGAAAAGGGTCACTAGAGCAGTGCCCTGGAGTGAATGGAGCTGAGGGATCTAAAAAAGAGGTGTCCACAGGGCCTGGGTACCCCAGGGAAGTTACCTGGCAGGTGTCAATGTTGCCCTCAGGGTAGCCTGCGCACACGTTGGTGGAACGAATGCGCCCTCTGTACCAGCGGGTCGAGTTGCACAGGTTGAGGTCAATGATATCCACGTGCGCCTCCTGCAGCACAGGTGACATCTTGCGGTCTACAACCAGGCGACTCGGTGGTCAGTGGTCACCAGAGACTCGCTCGGGGAAAGCCCTGCCACCTCCCTCCATGGAGCCCTCATCCTCCTGTGGCCCTCAGCTTGACCCTAAGACCAGAAACAGAGGCCTGGCCTCCCCTTCACACAGCAGACTAGAGGTAGGGGTGGAGCAGTGTCACCGGCACAGGGGGAGGACAGAGGAGGAGCCTGGATGACCGACAGCGGGACGTGGGGTGCACAGGCGCAGCTGAGAGATGAGCATGCTCATGGTGCCTGAAGGATTGTGGGGGTTACTTGTAATATTAGCAGTTATAAAGAGGCTGTGCTGAGCACTGTGAGTCACACGAGCATCATCTAATTTAGTCCTGGCGGCAACCTCATGACACAGCTCCCTGCTCTCCAGTCAGGAGATTAGAACACTGCTTGCCCAAGGTCATGACAGGGATGTGGCATGGCCTGGATTCAGACCCAGGTTTTCTCTCAAGAACCAAGTCCAGAGCCTGGCTCTAAGTCACCCTCCCTATTACCCCGGGTCAGGACTCCGCCCACTGTGGACAGGATCCCCAGGTAGGACTGGCGAGTCCCTCCCCACGAGCCTCCTATCTGTTCCAATGAGGTGGTGGAAAGAAATGAGCTGTGGCCATGCCTCCACACACAAGCACACCTGTCAGGACCAAGTCAGAACTTGCTTTACAGCCCAGACACTCTGTCAGGGCCTCTGGGTTGAGAAGAGCCAGCCTGTCTGTACTCAAACAGCCACATAGCATCTGCATACATGGAGCCCGAGAGCCAACTCACTGCCTTCTCTGGGTCAGGTGGTCCCACAGACAGAGGGGTGCTGACAGCACACGCAGCTCTGGACCTATAGCCCGGTGGGTGGGCTTGAACACCGTCTGCAGTGCAGACGGGTGTAGACAGGGCAGGCCTGCAGGAGGGGTGGGACTGGAACATGCTACAGGGCCAAATGGGAAGACAGGACCACATGGAGCACTTGGGTGGGGCCAGGCACGCAGCAGGCATCTCTGATAGTTTCCAATCCCTTCAGCTCTCCCCCTTCCTTGCCACCCAAGCATCAGGGACCATCTGTGCATGCTCTGCCCTGGGGTAGAGGTGACACTGAGATAGCAACCACAGCCGGCTCATTGTCATCAAGGTGCCCATTCCCGTCTGTGGCACAGCCTGACGTCTAGAAACCCAGAGGTTTCATCATGAAGAGCCAGGTGTCCTCAAACACAAGGGTTTTCTCATTCCCAACACCCTGCTTTAATGACGCACACGGAGCAGCCTGCAGGAGCTCAGCTTCGGTGGAAAGGGAGAGGGCGGACCCAGAGCACAGCCGTTCCAGGGGCAGGTGGGAAGGAAGGTATGGAACAATGTCACAGAGCTGGAGCCTGAGGTTTCTCTGAGACTTGGCCTTCGGGGGGGGGGGCAAAATGATAGAAATCCCATTAAGCTGAGAGGGAGTCTTGAATGAAAGAGATCTTGCATGACGACAGGGTGTAGCTGGGACCCTGAACACCACCTGAGCAGCTCAATAGCAGGAGTGAGGCTGGGGTGGGTCATCCAGATGACATCACCCTCCCAGGACTGCAAGAACCCCAGAAGCTGGACGTGGTCGGGCGAGCGGGCAGCGCAGGGTGGGCCATAGAGGGAAGGTCGTGGGTCAGCAGAAGCCAGTGGTGGGTGACGGGAAGGGGACCTGCGGGAGATACCCACCTTGAGAGGACAGATGGCAACCCTATCAGAGGCCGAGAGCAAGTTTCAAAGACGGAAAGTAGTGTTAGGGGAGAATCCTGAAAGTACTGATTTGGGGGTTACCAAAAAAGGCTGTTTCAAACCCCACAAGAATGAACTGCCTCGATTTAGGAAGCCTAAATCGTCTGTTATCAAGTAACAGAAGACCTTGAGAGCTAAGTTAATGTCAGTCCTATCTTCACATCTCTGATGTAACTGGGTGACCAGTCTTGCAGCCACCCGTGCGGAGGCAGAGGGCAGGGCACAGGTGGGGGCCAGCTGGGCTTGGTCCTGCCCTGCAAGCCAAACCTTGCTGTCAAGAAACGGAAGAAACCACAGCCCGTCCCTCTCCCAGCCTCAGGGCAACCCTGCAGCAGCTGCCATGGGTGGGGTGGATTTGGGTGCTATGGCTGCCAAAGGTGGGGGTGGATAGGCTGGGCTCTGGCCTTTCCACTTACAGGTGGGGAAACCGAGGACCGAGAGCAAGAGGACTGTCCTACAGCCACAAAACCCCACCCAGAGCTTCTCTCCCCTCTCCGAATGCAGCACCTGGGTTCCAGGCCCCAAGTACAGCGGGCATTGACCCCATTCCCACAATGCCAGGTTTTCCTGTGCCGGCCACTCAGCCTGCATGTGTGGCCCTGAACAGGGTGCTCAGCTCTCACCCTCAGTTTCTCCAGCAGGAAAGGGGCAGTGGCCAGAGGTAGCCAAGCCCCGTCACAAGAACAGTCGCTCATCAGGCACTGCACATCCCCCTTTCACCTCACAGTGCACCAAGCACACACTCAGTGCTCCCCGGAGCCCCTCCCTACTCACCGTTCTCTTTTAGAAATCCCCAGCCGGCCACCCAGCAGGACTGGGACCCTCGGGGTGGGCCTGCCTTAAACTGGGGCAGGCAGCCTGGTCCGATGCGGTACCCACAGACCACGGGAGGGGTGACCTTCAAGAGAGCGATGTCGTTGGTCTCTGTGACGGGGGAGTATCTCTCGTGAATGATGATTTTCTCCACAAATCTCTCCTGGAGAGGTGCTCTCACTGGCTCACTGCTGCCATACTGGAGCTCTCGTGCTCCAAAAATCAGCCTCCAGTCATACACTTTTCTGCGGGCACAAGGGGACCAGGTCATTCTCACCACACACTGGCTGTGACTGTGATTCTCAGAGCCCTCCCCCCACAGTGGTCTGGGTCAACACGCTCACAGTCCGGCTGCCACTGGGCCCCAAGCCCCAGGGACACTCTGAACAGAGACCCCTGGAGAATGTCCCTGATGAGAGCCCTTCTGAAGAGCCCCCTCCATGGTTTCCCACACATACTTTTTGAGCCTGAAGCAGTGAGCAGCGGTGAGAACCCACTGGGAATTCAGCAAGATGCCTCCACACGCATGGTACCTCCGGCTGTTGTGGTAGGTGAAGACCTGCAGGCTGACTACCCAGGGCCACGCCCCGGGAGCAGCGGCCTGGCCTCCGACCACGCGAGTGCTCGCTTGTAGCATCTGCTTGAACGGTATCCCACAGGAGCCACTGAGGAGAGACCATGGGCACAGTTGAAGCCAAGAGCAGGCACAGCCTGTCCTTGTGCCTCACCTGAGGGCAGGGATATGGGCTTTAAAAGTGGAGAAAATCTGCCCTAGCTGCTGTGGTTCAGTGGTTAGAGCATTGGCCTCCACACAGGAGGGTCGTGGGTTCGATTCCTGGTCAAGGGCATGCACCTAGGTTTCAGATCCGATTCCCTGCCCCCAATTGATGTGTGTCTGTCACATCCATCCCTCTTTCTCTCTCCCCCCTCCCTTCCCCTCTCTCTAGAATCAATGGGAAAAAAATATCCTCACTCCTCCGGTGAGGTTTAATAATAATAATAATAATAATAATAATAATATAAAGTAAAAAGTTAGGAAGACCTGGTAACACGAGAGCAACCTCAGGTGTGGGGTAAAAGGGTGCATGTGAGAACCATGGGGTGGGAAAGCCAGGGGCTCCAGGAAATGCTGTGAGGGCTGTGAGTTCTTGGGACTTGTGGGTGTGGTCACAGGTGGGGAGAGACAGGAAGGCAGCTGGGAAGATGGATAGTGAGGGCCTGGGAAATATGTGGGGCCCTGGGCTGGGCGAGGCTAAGGTGTCATAGCCTAAGGGAGGAAGACTGCAGGCTGATGCAGGGCCTCAGGTATGGGGAGGCAGGGGGGGTCCAGAGGTAGGAACCATGTCGCAGAGGAGAGGCCACACCAGTTTGGGACTTGTTGGCATTGTGGGGTTCCCTGTGGGGATCTCAAGGGTGTGAAGGCCCCAGGGCTACAACACAACAATGTCTGGGACCTCTGGGTCAGCCACAGGCTGGGGCTTCTCATATCCGTGTGACTTGTGAGCATCAGGACGCATGTGCATGGGCAGGGCGCACAAATCTGTGTACCGTGCACGTCCTTGGAGCTGAGGTTCTGTCACAGGATACTAAGGACAGCAGGGCCCAGAGGGCTCCAGGCTGAGGATGCTGGGAGAGGGAGGGGTCTTAGTCAGGGTGTGGGTCACAGGAGCTGTGAGACCCAGGGGACTGCCAAGGCCCAAGCACGGCCCCCTCTCTGGACAGAGGCTATCTGGGTCTGCTATTCAGAAGGCACCCCATCCCCCGCCAAGGTCCCAAACACTTACTCACACGTGTTGTTATCTTTGGCGACTACAGACACTGCCAAGACCAGCAGAATGGCAGTTGGCAGCATCTCCACCATCGTCCTGTCCCAGCCGCCCGGAACCCCGCTGACCTCACAAAGCTCCGGGCATTCTGACCAATCAGCAGGGCCACCTCCCACCCCACCCCCAGCAGTCATGCCCGCAAGAGCCCTTTAGCTCAACTGGTTCTCTCTAAAATGACTTCCGGGCTCCTGCACAGGCTCCCCCAGTGAGGGGGGCTCAACTGCAGCCCCTCGTTCTGTCCCCAAATCCGTCCAGGATCTTCAAGGTACCACCCACATCATCTGAGACTACAAAGCGCACCTTCCTCAGCCCACTGCTGAGCACCTACAATGTCTCATCTTCTCTAGCTGAGTGTATCCAGGTCTCCTTTCTGAGACCTGCATGCAGCCAGGTGTTGTCCCCTATAATCATCAGGAATCTCACCACAGTTACCTGAATATCACACAGTGTCCTTCTAATTGTCAGGAGACAGCAACTCACCTGCCAGAGTATAACAAACGCTCACCTCACATACCTGAATGTTAGAGTCTCACCTCCCCTGCCTGACTGTAAAGTCTTCACCAGCCGGTCTGAGTGCCAAGAGGTGATACCCCATGTATATGGGTATCACGAGGTCCCATCTCTCCTACCTGAGGGACAGGACACCTTGTGTCTTTGTCCTGACAGTGAAAGGTTTTCAGAACGTCGCATCCCCTTCAATGGAATGTGCAAGAGGTCTCGTGTGTCTACCTGAGGGCCAGGGCATTATCACCTCCTCTCCCAGAACAAGAGGACGTCTCTTTCCTTCCATCTCAGGGCCAAAACCTTCTCTCCACCACCTGAATATCACTTTGTCACATCTCTCCCTGAGAACCAAGAGGTCTTACACATTGTACTTGAATGTCAAAGGTGACATCTCACCTGGATGCTCTGAGATTCTACTGCCCTACTGGAGTGTCAGAAATCCTCAAGTTCCCCCCTGACTGCCAGGAAGTCTCCCATCCCCTCCTTGAGTCAGGTTTATCGTCCTACCTGCATGTCACCAGCTTTTACCTTCTCTACCTGAGAACCAGGAGGTCTCCTGTAATTTGTATAAATGAAGTTCTCATGTGAACTCCCTTCCTGACGGTTTTTCTCCCTTTCTTGAGCATCGTGCGGTCTCATCTCCCCCACATGAGGGTGATGAAAGCTCATACCCCTTATTAGAGTGCAAGGAGGTCGTCCATGCCCTACCCGAGTGTCTTCTCTACTTGGTGTCAGGGGATCTCATCTCTGACAGTCAGGCGTCATCTCTTCTGCTTCTATCTGGAGGTTCCATCTCCTCTAAGTGACCAAGAGGTCTTATCTCCCTTAGTTGAGCATCACAAGGTCTTATCTTCCCTACCTGAATGCTGGGAATCTCCACTCTTCTAGATAATTGTCAGGGTATCTGATTTCCTCTAGAGGAGTGTCCAGAGACCTCACCTTATGCACCTGATTGTCAAGAAGCTATCATTTCCTCTAGATGATTGTGCCAAATCTTCTCTCCCTGCAGATCAGAAGGTCTCATCTCTCCCATTACTGGGCTGGGACATCCATCTTTGTTTTCCAGAGACTAACAGGCTTTACACACACACACACACACACACACACACACCACGCAGCAGGATGATTTATCTACATCACTTGAGTTTCGACCTGCATTATTTCCCTTTCTTCCCAGCAAGAGTTTTGTTTCCCTGGATAAATGCAATCAACTCACAATAATCAATAATCAACTATCCATGTCATGAGATTTTTATCTCTGCTACCTGTGTGTCAGGCAGTCTCCCTCTCTTCTACCTGAGTGTGAGGAGGATCCATCACCCTTATGTCAGCTTCAGGGCTCTCAGGCATCTTATTTGACTAATAGGATCTCTTACTTCCCACACCTGAGTCACAAGGACATATGTCTTGTACCTCAGTTTCAGGAGGCCTCTTCTCCCCTCTGCAAGTGTCCAAGGTCTTTCTTTCTTCTCCCTCCCTCTCCTTCTCTCCCCCCTTCTTTCTTTCTTCTTTCTCTTTATGTCAGGCAGTCTCGCCTCCTCTATCTGAAGGTCAAGAGGTCCTGTTTCACCAACCTGAGTGTTAACAGGTTGTAGCTCAGCTGGATGTTAGTTGTTTTAAATCGGTGTCAGATTGTGCTTGATCAAGTAACCAAAAAAGGCTTTGGAAATATAGTTCAAGAAATGGCAATAAGCCCTGGCCGGTTCTCAGTGGTTAGAGCATCAGCCTGAAGCCTGAAGGGTCCTGGGTTCGATTACTGGTCAAGGACACGTGCCTCAGTTGCAGGTTTGATCCCCAGCCCCAGGGCAGGGGCTTGTGCCCAAGGTCTCACGTAGTCATCAATGTTTCTCTCTCTCACTCCCTCCTTCCCTTTCACTCTCTCTAAAAATCAGTGGAAAGATTATCCTCAGGTGAGGATGAAAGAAAGAAAACGAAAGAGAGAAAGAGAGAAAGAAAGAGAGAGAGAGAGAGAGAGAAGAAAGAAAGAAAAAGAAAGAAAGAGAAAGAAAGAAAGAAAGAAAGAAAGAAAGAAAGAAAGAAAGAAAGAAAGAAAGAAAGAAAGAAAGAAAGAAAGAAAGAAATGGTAATAAGAATTCATGGATTGATAATAAAGTTTTGACTGGGAAAGAAAAGGTAATTCAGGTGTTTTTACAGGATTTTGATGGGCATAACACTGATATGGTATTTAGACTGTGAGAATCATTTACCAGAATGATGTAGCCGTTTATTTTTAATATTAATATGTACAATTTTCTGCAAATCACAACTTTACAAGTATTTAAACATATAATCAAAATGTTGGATATAAACTTCAAGATGAATAGCAGAACCTAGTGTTTCAAAACACTGCGGCTGGATACGCAGCAACAGAGTTGGATGACCCAATGTCTGCATTCTAAACACAGCTGAGTGACTGCAGAGTAACACCCACTTCTGGCCCCAGAGGGGCTGCCAGGCATCCCACCCGCCCCTGGGCCACAGTGATGGTTGAGGGACAGGCACGTGGCCCACCCAGGTTTAATTTTGTCATTAAACCTAATGTAAGCAGCAAACACCTCAACAGATAGGGACTGTGTTTCCCTTCTCTGTGCTGTCCCTGAGTGTGAGCAAGGGGGGCAGAAAGGTACAGGATAGTGAGGGCTCTGGGCTACAGGGTGGGGTCCTGGTGCTGGTGGGGGCTTGGCTCAGGCCAAGATGGAGCTCACAGGTGGGCTCCTCCCACCTCAGGCTCCTCCTCCTGGTTCTCCGTCCCCACACCCTTCCCACCATGACCTGCCCCTCTAGCTCTCCGGGGACAGCCAGGCATTCTCCTGCCCCTGCTCACTCTGAATCTCTACTGCCATTCCCCTGAGCAACCCAGTCCCCACCCTTTTTCCTCACCCTGATCTCTAGCCCTCTGGTTCCCACCTGCTCCCATCTTGCCTGTCCCATTCTTGCCCCCGCCCTGTCCCGTTCTCCAGCATGGCCGTCTGCAGAGCAGTCCGGTACCTGTCCATCCAGCTGCGCATCCGAGTTTACCCCAGAGTCAGCCACAGGACCCTGGGGGGACTGGTGGTGAGGGAGGGGCTACTGCCTCTGTTCCAGGTTCCAGAGAGTGTTGGCAAGTTGTTTAGGGCCCCTGAGAGGGTAGAGCTATAATATTCTGAGGTCAGGGGGAAACCAGAAGGGGCAGGGAAGTCCCCTGCTCTGGGTGAGGAAACCTCTGCCCAGAGGCATTTGGGGCTTCAGCTCACTCAGGGCTGGACCTGCCATTTCTCCACCTCCTCTCACAAGTTCCTCGAGGGCAAATCTTGAAGGTTCTGACATCTTCTGAGGCCTGGGGGTGGCTGCTGACCTGCAGGACATTCATCTTCTCCCCCAGATCCCTGAGAGCCAAAGACCATGCCATCTTCAAGGGGGCCGGCTCCACCGCTACTGCTCTCTTTCCTACATTGTCCCAGAGAAACCAGGGTTCCAGGTGCAGTACAGATGAGACCCGTCTCCTGGTGCCACAGCGCTCAGCCCCAGCGCAGGTCAGGGTCCCTACTCCACCCCACACCGACTTCCTTCACGGCTCCTTCTGTATGATGAGCACAATTTCTAACTTCAAAATTAAACAAAAAAATATGAAAATGTTGAAAATTGAAATTGTAGGGCTTTCTAGACAGACGATGAGCCTCTCGAGGTCCGACGACCCAGCAGTCACGGTCTCACCTCGCCAAGGCCTTCCTCTCCTTCCCCTGAGGCCACCCAGACCTTCACTGGCTCCCCGAAGTCCCTCTGTCCCTGCACCACCTCTGAACAGAGACACCTGAATCCTTTCCTCTTCTCCCCCCATGGCTTCTCTCCACCACCCATTCTTACTTCCTCTGGGATCTGCACCCTACCCTGGAGGCGTCGCCCACTGGCCTCACCTGACCCAGTGAGAGCCTGAGCCTATGTTCCTCATTGTCCCGTTCGTGCTGCACCTCGACTCAGTGTGGCTGAGCTCTGCACCCACTGCCCCTCCTCGAGCCCTCCAGGTGGCTGGTGCCTGACTTCTCTGACATGGCACCTCTGCAGGCCTGGCCCTCTCTCAGCCCTGCACCCTGTGGTCTTCACTCTCACTCCATGGGAATGTCCACCCACGAACCTCTGTTCATCCCCCTTCCACTCACCGGGCAGGGCACCCACCACAGGTGCCACACGGGACCCGCATCATGGGCCAGCAGCAACTAGCTGTTTACGGGACTGTTGGCTCAGAGAGGAGTGAGGCTTGAACACAGGCAGCAGTTTTGGGGGCAGGATGACAGGGACAGAGAGGGCTGACAGACAGGAGCAGCAGGATTGAGAAAATGGGCCCTGGAAGGGAAAGAGGACAGGGACCACAGAAGACAACTGGACTTTCAGCTTGGGGCTGGCCACTCAGTGAGCAAACAGGAAAACCTCCAACTCAGGAAGCACAGGCTGAGGTCCAGCAGAACTCAGAAAGATGCAAGAAGCCAGGCAGGTGGGCATGGAGGTCAGCATAGGCATGGGGTCAAAGACGGGGACCTGTGAGTCACCAGTGCATGTGGTCAAAACGGTCACACTGAGGTGGGGAGGGCTCTGTGACCTAAGGGACAGCAGGGTATGCACTCCCAGTATCTCTTCAAGCAGGCAACTGAGAATAGTTTCATTTCTTATAAATTTATTACATAATAATATTATAATAATTATTATCAATAATAATATAAGAAACATAGATCTCTGTGGGGTGTATCACAACGTCAGGGTCAGGAGGCCTCAGGACTGGAGCAGGGGGAAATCCCCTGGATGGAACTCCATACAAAAGGAGGGGTGAAGAGCTACTGACCCTGTAAAGTTAAAAACCCAAATTGAACAGAACCAAAAACCCACAGGTGAGTGTGAGACTGTGTATGTGGCAGTCTTGTACAGGGACTGCTGTGTGTGACCTGGTCTGTCAGTGAAAGGGTGACTGGGTGTGACTGCCCAGGAAATGAGGCCGGGGAGCCGGGACGGGGCGAGCGGCACAGACCGGCGTGCCGGGCCCCTGAGCTGTGAAAACTTCTGTTTTCTGGGTTTTTTATTTTTATTAAAAAAAGCTAGAAATATAAACAGAAACTTGTGAGTGACGTGGATGGAGCTTAGTCCAGACTCCAAACCCTAGGTTTAAAAACGTCCCAGGGCCCCCCTGCCCCACAGGTCAGTCATTGCTGAGTGTGAGGAGTCACAGTAAGGGGGGCTGGGGTGCCCTCTGGGGTCTCTGCTTCTCCCCAGGGTTTGTGGTGGCCTGCCTCTAGGAGAGTCTCCCTAGGATCCCCCAGAAGCCTGATGGGGGGCGGGCACTGCCTCCAAGGGCCCTTGGGGGCCTCCCCAAGCAGCAGAGCTTCATCAGGGCAGCCTGCTCAGGCTAGGTGAAACTCTGGAAGGGCAGGTGGGACAAACAGCAGGTCCCAGGGGGCAGGGGGGCCTCTGACTTTCTTTGGAAGTGGAGACGGGGTGCTTTCACAGGCACGCACCCTGCGCATGCTCCCGAAGCCCTCACACTAGTCTGGAGCGGCCCCACGGACCGCTCTCCACTCAGGCACACACAGGGCTCCGATGCACTCAGTCGCACCAAGTTTCACAGTCACACGTGCACACACACAGGGCGGGGACAGGAGACTTTGGGGTCTGAGGCAGAGGCTTCTTTGCTGTAGTTGCCCAACAGTGTGGGGAGGAGGCTAGACCCCTCCTGGGGAGGGACCCTGTGAGGGAGATGGCTGGGAGCAGGTGCCAGGGCCCTGCCCCCACCCCCAGGGCAATAGTTTCCCAGGCCACCAGACCTTGCTAGTGCCCAGCAGGCCTGGTTGCCTGCCGCCCCTCCTCCACGCAGCACCTGAAGGGTCGTGGGGCACACTATAGCTCAGCGAGGGGAGAAGGCCCAGGCAAGGCCCCAGGGAGGCTACTAGGACCCTGGCCAACCCCAGACCAGCTGGAGCGTCCTCCGCCCCACGTGGGGTGGCAGTGGCAGTGAGGGGCCAGAGATGGAAGACTGGGCAGCCACAGCGGAACCAGTGGGGGCTGGGGGCGGGGAAAGGAAGCTATTAAGGACAGAGATATTTGTTCCTTTTCTCGTTCCAAATATAGAGTGGATTAAAATATGTAAAACAAGGGGGCTCCTTGGCCCCCAACCGAGAACCCCAATGTCTCCCCCCTCCCCCCGAGTCACCAAGGTGTGTCCTGACCTCGCATGCTGGACTAGGTCCCCCCTCTAGGAGAGTAGCCTCCGGGAGCTGTGTGGGAGATGATCAGGCCGGAGAACCCCACCCCCAACCCCTCCGGCTCCAGCCTCCCGGCCTCTGCCCTTCCTGACCATGTGCTGGGTGGGGCTCGCTGGCCAGCTGGGGAGGGCACTAAGCAATGTACAGGGCAAGTCTCCGAGCAACAGCAAACAGGACGATTCATGCAACATTCCTGGCCCGGGCGCCTTAATGGGGGGCAGGGCCGAGCCCGCGGCCCGGGGTGGGGT